ATAAATAGTAAAACATATTTATTCAGTAACTTCTAGATAAGCAGTATACAGGCATGCATGTGATTTTAGGTGAAGAGCAATACCATAGCTTGCACAGCATGACTGCATAGGCTTCACAATAGAGAACTGCGCACGAAGTTAACATTACATCAGAAGCGATCAATTTATGCCCGCAGATGATACCACAGTTAGGTTTAAATATTGCTTCTGATTAAATGGTTCGACTCTGATAAAAATAACTCAAATGGAGGGTAAAATTGATAACAGCGGTCTAGTAAGTGGCTGGTAGTGTGTCCTTTCACCAACTAAGAATAGCACACACGTATTTTAGAAAACATGAAAAGGTATGTAATGACGCTTCTGGCTGTGAACAGTAATCATAAGATTTTACCTGCGACCTGCTAAGGTCATTTAAGATATGATCACTATGACAATTGATGCAAATCTAGCTGTAGTTTTTTTCCCTCTCATCGCATGGAAGCATCTGAAGGCTGGCTTAACGGGATGGATTTAACCTAACAAATGGTGAAGAGCACGAGTTCCCTTTATTCTGCACAGGACTCTGTTCATACACTCGTCACTCGCGAATCCAGTTTGAAACTAGGAATGATCAGAGCACCAAAAGTATGTTCAGAGGTGGACAGGTACCTTGTTGAGGCATCCAGATAGTTAGGGGGCGGTAGCAGTATAGCAGTCATTACTATCCTGTTCACAACAATATAAATCATAATTCACGGAACGCATACGAAACGCCTATTCCCACTCAGCGCAGAGCACCGCCCCACGCAGCTAGGCTACCAAAATTAGATTGCGTTACACAGCCTCTAATACACATTTTATATAGCTTCTTTCCTTTGGGCAGATCAAAATACATCTCGAAGTTAATAAATAACCTAATCTGTGTCTGAGGATGGTAGCTGTAAGTGTAGTCGGAATTATGACATTCGTTTATGCTTTGGAAACTTAGCTATAGTGTTTTATTCAGAGGAGATTGTTGAAATATGTGTCTTCGCATCGTGTGTTGTGATTAAGATTCTTTTTTGTCTTGTTGAGTATTGTTCGTTATTCGCTTGTCGCTACCTCGCCACACCGGACATAAGGATTCACTGACCCTAGATGGGACGTTTGATTATCTTTTCTTGTTTTTTCTAAATAGGATAAGTAATAATGTGTATTTTTGAGATCCCCACTTCAACCTTTTCAGAGAAACTTTACTACAAGATAACAATTTTTCTGTGACCTCTCAGAAACGAAACAGAATCACCGACAGCAAGAGTCGGGATTCTCTTAGCAGCAGAAGACTATGTGGAAACAGTGAGATAACGTGTTTCCCGGAATTGTATTTTTGGAATTCTTGTAAGAGATAGACTGGCGGATATGTGGTGTGCCCATAAAATGAGTATTAAAGGGAAATTCAGTTTGGTATTCAACTATTCATATATAGTGAATAATCACAATAGGGGTTTGTAATTTTGTTCCACGTAGTTTTTGGACGGTTATACTTAGCATTATATATTAGAATAAAGACACTACAGAAATATTTAGGGGTAGTGGCCAGCTAAAGTTCTGTAAGCTAATAGTACAAATCTCTGAAGAATGGAAAAACACATTTCACATAACATGATTTCTGCTGTAATTTAGATGGGATTCAACAGAGCCAAGAAACAAGAACCTACTACACAACAAACTAAACCTACTACACACATACATCAACAGTGAGTTCGTCAACAGTCATTCGTGTTTGAATTTTCTGTAAACATGTTTATGGAAGTCTTCACCAATTCAACACTCCACTAGTCAAAGAAACTACCTTCCCTAATGTATTAAACTTGTCTCAAAAACTGCTAAAAAACTGAATCGAAATTCTATTGCCGATAGCTAACCCTCAACACAGGACTTGCAAAACTTCAATACAAAAAAGGCAGACAGAAAAATCAATTACTAAAATTAGCCAAAGGACACAAATACTTGACAATAAAATACATATCATGTCCTTGGGAACAATTTGTATCCAATGTACAGTCCCTGGCCATATTATTAGACGCACCTTAAATTTTCAATAAAAATCACGGTTTTGTGACGAAAAACGTATTTCTTTATTTCTAACGAAATAAATAAGAAATAATTGAATACTAACGATACAAACAAGATATCATATGCAAATTTATGTCTATTAGTATAATATATAAACTAATTTTCATAAAAAATCTCCATGCACATGTACATCTTTAATACTTTGTCAGGCCATTTTTGGCAGCTATTAGATCTTTAATTCTTTTTGGCAAGCTATTAATGAATGCCTGGACTGTTTCTTGCAACTTTGGATGATGGCACCAGACTTGAATTATTTGTCAAGGAGGCGAATTATAGTTGGGTTCATATCTGGTGAAATTCCTGGCCATGGTAACACAGGAACATTTTTCTCCAATAAAAATGATTGAACTGTGCGAGCAGTAGGACATGGAGCCCCATCTTGCATAAAAACAAATGATTCTTCATTTGTAAACCATTCCTGTAGTTGAGGCAGCAGACGTTCCTCAAATACTTGCTTATTCTAGTCTTGTTTCATGATGCCCTTAACCATGTAGAGATGCCCCGTGCCTTTGCAACTGATCACTGACCAAATCATTACCTAGACTGGATGTTTCACAGTTTGGATGACAATCTGAATGATACTTTGCACCAGGGTGCCATCTCACAAATTGATATTTGTTTGCTAGAATATTGAAAGTGCATTCATCGCTAAAAGAAACCTAAAATACAAGTAAATGGCCATTTATAATTATAAAAAAGCACTAGACTAAATTTTTACCGATTTTTAGAAGTCCAAATCTTTATTCTTAAGGTTCTTAGCCAAGCAGGACGTTTTTCTTTTATACCAGCTGTTAATCTGGGTTTGTGGGCTAGTCTACAGGCTACTACAAATTCATTTGTAGTAGTGAATGTCTTACTAAACTATCATCATTCAGCAACACACTACCCATGTCATCTCTTGTTCTACTCAACTCTTGAAGTTTGTGCGTCAAAGCAACAATGAGGTGTCACAACAATGGTACATAATGACAAATAATGTGTTAAATATTAGGAAAAGAAGCTTTGTTTTTATTGACTGATTCGCAACAATGCCAGATGTAATGTACTGCAGTGAGAGACTTCCAAACATTACATTTTGTTAAAAATTTGGAGTGCATCTAATAATATGGCCAGGGACTGTATATACGCC